CCTCGAAGCGAGAGGTGTATTTTCATCGGCTACCCACAACAATCCTTTGGTTACCTCTTCTACAGACCTAGTGATAATGTGGTCTTTGTAGCAAGAAGAGGAGTTTTCGAGAAAGAGAGTTTATAAGCCAAGGAGACAGTGGGAGGCAAATTGATCTTGAAGAAATTCAAGAGTCAAGTGGTGAAGGAACTTCAAACACTAGCCCTCAACTTGAGGAGGAAACTCCTGTTGAGCCAATTGACGAATCTGTACCTCTGAGGCGTTCCACGAGAGTTAGGAGTGCACCTGAGCATTACTATGGTTTCCATATTACTGCAGAAGGTGAGACACTTATTAGTGATGGGACACTAGTAAGTCAAGATGACCCTAACAGCTACGAGGAAGCCATGGCAGGCCCCGAGTCTGCTAAATGGAAAGAGGCTATGGATAGCGAGATACAATCCATGTATGACAATCAAGTTTGGAACTTGGTTGAGAATGTACCAGGTCGTAAGACTGTAGGGTGCAAATGGATCTTCAAGAAGAAGACCGACATGGATGGTAATGTACACACTTATAAGGCTCGACTGGTTGCAAAGGGCTTCTCTCAAATTCCTGGAGTGGATTATGATGAGACCTTTTCTCCAGTAGCCAAGATTAAGTCTATTAGGGTTATGTTAGCCATAGCTGCATTTCATGACTATGAAATTTGGCAAATGGATGTCAAAACCGCTTTCCTTAATGGAAAGTTGACTGAAGATGTTTACATGAGTCAGCCAGAAGGTTTTGTCAGCAACGAGTACCCTAATAGAGTGTGTAAGCTTGAGAAATCCATTTATGGATTAAAGCAAGCACCTCACAGATGGAATCTTTGCTTTGATGAAAAGGTCAAGGAATTTGGCTTTTCTAGGAGTGAAGATGAATCTTGTGTTTATGTCAAGACTAGTTAGCTTTTTGGTATTGTATGTGGATGACATACTACTCATAGGAAACGACATCCCAACCCTGCAGGAAGTAAAGTCCTGGCTTGGGAAGTGTTTCGCTATGAAGGACCTTGGTGAAGCTGCCTATATTCTAGGGATAAGGATCTTGAGAGATCGGAGTAAAAGACTAATTGGACTTAGTCAGAGTACCTACTTGGATAAGGTGCTGAAGAGATTCAGCATGCAGGACTCCAAGAAAGGAGAGTTACCCATCCAGAGTAATGCCAAATTGAGTAAGACACAAAGTTCCTAGCACTGAGGCTGAGATAGCAGAAATGAGTTGAATACCTTATGCTTCGTTTGTAGGATCGATCATGTATGCTATGACATGTAATAGACCTGATGTAGCCTTTACCCTGAGCATGGTTAGCAGGTATTAGGGGAACCCTAGCAAGGGACACTGGACTGCGGTAAAGAATATCCTGAAGTACCTACAAAGGACTAAGGACTGGGTCCTTACCCTCGGTGGGAGTGATGACTTGAGAGTTGTAGGGTATAGTGATGCTAGCTTCCAAACTGATAGGGATAATTTCCGCTCTCAGTCAGGCGGGGTCTTTACCCTAAACGGAGGAGCAATTTCTTGGAAGAGTTCCAAGCAAGAGACAGTGGCTGATTCAACTTGCGAATCAGAGTATATTGCAGCAAGCGAGGTGGCAAAAGAGGCTATATGGCTAAAGAACTTCATCGGAGACCTTGGAGTTGTACCAGCTATTAAAGAGCCAATGGAAATTTTCTGTGATAGTGAAAGCGTTGTTACCTTAGCCAAGGAACCAAGGATCACGGGAGATCCAGGCACATCGACAGAAAATACCATTTTATTAGACATCGAATAGAAGAAGGACTCCTCGTGGCAAAGAGGGTATCATCGGATGAGAACCCAGCAGATCCCCTCACGAAGGGACTGACTCGGGTTAAGCATCTCCAGCATGCTCGGAGCATAGGGCTGAAGGATGATATTAGATTTAGTAGTTAGATAACCTCGAAATTTGTAAAGTGTAATTGACATTAGATGATGAATAAAAGGTGTTTTATTTATGAGTAAAGTGTTGCTATCTCTTGTCAATCGTTTACTATATTTCTTTTGCATGTTTTGACTTCCAGAATAATTTTGTTTGGTATATCATATTACTCAAACCTCCACATTCGGTCATATGTCGGAAGTAGGTATGAATTAAGACTGTCATGATTGGTTGCAAAGGTCTAAGCTGTTAGACAAGGCTACAACGATCATGAGTGCTCATAAGCTCTGAGCATTGGACTCAACCCACGCTCACTGGAATCACTTCATGGAATTCTATCTCGAGTGATCGTGAGACGGTAATATCATATAAGTCTTCAAACCTAGAGATATGATTTGTTACTTACAAGTTGGTTATGCATTGATTGTACGAAAACGCATTGGTAACTCGATGTTATAAAATGTGCTTTTGTGTATAATTCAATGAGTGGTAGAACAAACATATGAGTCGAAGTTTATCTGTTCCTTCTTGGATTAGAAGCTGATATCTGGGCCCCTCGATGATTTTGTTTTGACCTATGTACCGGGCCTGGTCAGAACTAAGTTGATGTGTTCAATTAAGTTCTTTGTCAAACAAATCGGAAATCGGGAAACAAACTGTTGGACAATAAGTAAGACATTGTTCCATGTATTTGTCCGACTGATATCTAGAACAGAGGATTATATGATCACTTATCTTAAATGGCGTACCATCATCTTCTCAGTTCCGAGAAACCTTGAAAAGAGCTACGATTGCCGATCGGTTCCTGAAGTCATACTTGCAGTAATAGTTATTAGACTTATCCAAGTGGGAGACTATTGGATAAGGTGTCTAAGTCCATAACTATTTCTGGTATGTACTTGACCCGACCCGGCATGGTCCATTTGGGTTGCATGGCACCATGCAATTGGATAGACTAAATGAGAGAAATAACACTTGGAGATTATTAATATATTATAAGTTCTAATATATTAATAATATTCTTTGATTAGTTTGATCAAGAATTAATTTAGAATTAATTAAGTGATCAAAAGATAACTAATTAAATATATGGGTTGATTATGTAAATCATCCATATCTTGTATAGTGGGCTAAGAGGCTCCATGGATTATCAAGTTGGGTTCCACCCATAGGATGCTCCATGGATGCTCCATGGGAGTTACAAACCCATGGGTCATGGAAATGAAGAGTCATGACACATTAGGGTTTACATGGTGTAACCCTAGATGTGTCAACACTATATAAGGATCCCATTCTCCACCAAAATCGGCTACACATGTAAAACAAGAGGGCTAGGCCGATTTCTAGTAGTGTGCATTCTCTCAAAAGTCTTTCCAAGAGCATTTGGTGTTGTGTGAAGCATTTGAGGCATCACACTTGAGGTGCTAGGCTCACAAGGTTTCAAGGAACATAAGCGACAACAAGGTAAGTTATTCTATCTATCATTCAAGTTAAAAAATTGTTCCCCATGTATGCTAGATAGGAATATAACCTTGGAATTCAACTTTGCATGATAATTAGACAAACATAGATCCAAGGTTATTAGGGTTGCATGTACACTTAGGAAGCGTTAGAATGCTCAAATCCCATCAGAAAGACCATGTGGCGGGCCGTGGCATAATGATAAGACTATGTTTGGCACATAGCATCTTTATTGATTATGGTATATGTATGGTGCATGGTTATGTATAATAGTATGTGATTTATGTGCTTATATGCTAGACAGTATCTGGTTGAAAGTGACTGAAGGGGTCGGCCAACACCCACATATTCTAGGCAGTGTGTTAATATGAATGGTATGTGGTATTGGGAACTCACTAAGCTTCGTGCTTACGATTTTAGTTTTGGTTTCAGGTACCTCCAATTTGTTGGATTTGGTGTCTAAGCCTATATATCATAACCCAAGTTTCAATTGAATGAAAACTTAGAATCATGCAACTTGTATTTTGTTATGTATGAGAACCTTCATCTTTAGGAAATTAGGACTAATTCCTTGTTCACATGTAAATGTGAGTCAAATGAAGGACTAAGGGATCGTGTACACATTTGTGTGCATTGGTCAAGTCCACCACAAAGAATGATAAGACTATTCATTACACTACTAGAAAATAGCCCTTTAATGACGCGCAAACAATGACACTCGCTGATAAAGGACGCGCATTTGTATGTGCCCTAAAAAATAATGTCAATTTTGTAAAATTTGAAGGAAAGTAGACGCGTATTTGTGCGTGCCCTAAAATTAGTGTTAGAAAAGAAAAAAAAAAAAGAAATGCGAAGGGTGCCTTTCATAAAATGTGCATCCTCTAAATGTGTTGCTTTATAATTTTAATGAAACACGCGTTTTTAAGGCGGGATTTCACCTACCTATTGAATCCCAAAAATTAAACCCCCCACCTCTTCCAACTAGCAAGAAAAATCCCTAGGGCCTTCGTCTTCATGGCCGCCGCTTCAGAGAATGATACTGTTGATATCTCTACCGTAACAACAACCACCATCAATATATCTAGAAGCACCAGATCGTGCCATTACACCTCAAACCATCTTCCCTGCAAACCATCAACTGCTATCTCACTTCACCTTTCTTCATCTAACAGAGCAGAAGGAAGAGGGAGATGGCGAACATAAAAGGGTCGAATAACAAAATCACACGAACCGATATTGATATTAATTCTAGGGCTTTTTTAAGACTCAAAACACTCGCTCACTCAGTGCTCTATAGCATCGATCCAGCAACCTGGCCTAACCTTCCGGCAACCCCTTGCTCACTTCTCCTCATTGACGATCTCATGCTCACCTGACCTCAAATTCCTTTGTTTCAATCTTTTGCAGAAAGCCCAAATACATGGTCCCCCGTTTTTGACGCTCAGAAACGATCAAGGGAAAGCGCCTTGGTATGTGAGAAGATGTATTTTTGGGAAATAGGGGATTTTGGTTCTACGAGTTTTTATAACCCTAGGAATCAAGAACCCTGTATTCTCACACCGGATTCATAGTTGAAGTCTACCGGAGACTCGGAGAGGAAAGTGTACGGATGAGCCCAATGGGTCGGGGAATAGCAGAGGAAGCGCTAGTCCTTCTTCGTAAAAGACTAAGTGATCTCCATTTCATCTTCTCCCTGTTCTCCTATTGTCCCGACAGCAACTACAGGTTCGATTGATGCTTATTCGAATTTTCTATATATCTTCTAATTATATATACGTGAATATTATAATCCATTTTTTTTTCTTGTCCTCCATTGTGAAGTATTTAAGCTCTGAACAAATTTTAGCAAGTTGAAATTTATCTATCAAGTTCGATAACTGAGGCTGTAACATATTAGCCTCTTTTATTGGGGTTTCAATGAAAGATAAATCAGATTCAGAAGTATCACAAAGCTGAAATGCAGCACGAGCTCCTTCAATATCTCCTATTTTCTATTTCTATACACATTATTTTTTAAAATTGGTAAGCAATGTGGTTTTTGTTGTTTTTGGGCAATCTGTTACACTGTTTCTTTTGCATTGACTTGGGTATCTCCTCTTCAATTGCTATCTATATAAGTGTGTGTTTGTTTATTTACTTAATTTTATTATTAGGTAAGAGCAAGGGAAGCAAAGCTTAATCTGGGTTGTGGAGAAGGAGAAGGGAATCTGCTTGAAGGGCGGGACATCCATATACATTTCCCAGCAGGAGCAGTTCCAAAAGATGCTTCATCTGTATCCCACTTTGAAATAATAGCAAATTAGCAAACATATATCCAGAAACAACGAAGTGTTTTTGTAAGTATAATGTATTGACTACATTTTGTTGATTTTGGACTCTTTGTATTTGCAACATCCATAAATTTGTACTTAAATCCAAAGGTTCAGTCAATGAAGTTAATCAAATTGCACAGGTTGATGATCCACGTGTGGTGCTAATCAAGCTTGCAGACCGTATACACAACATGAGAACCATGTATGACTTGTTTCCATATCTACCATGAATCTTTGCATTGCATGATCCCGACAAGAAAAATATTTCTGATAATTCCATTTCAAACTCGAGTGATTTTAATTTCACTGTTACTTCTCTTGTTCATTGGTTGGTAAAGGTCTTGGAAAGTAGAGAAAATTCATTCTTTTTTTTTTTGTCAAGGGAGGTTTACCACTCTATTCAATAAGTTATTCACTCACTGCAATGCTTTAACTTACAGTTTACACTCTTTTGCTTTCAGTTATGCTCTACCTTCGGGCAAGGCTAAAGCTGTAGCACAGGATACTTTGGTCATTTGGTGCTCTCTTGCTTCCAGATTGGGCCATTGGGCTTTAAAAGCTGAACTTGAAGACCTCTGTTTTGCTGTTCTTCAGGTCAGTGGTTTCTACACTATAAAGCTAATTTAGTGATGAATCATGAATGTGTTCTAATGCATGATATTTATCTCAAGTGTTCATTCTACGCAACTAATGATCGAATCATATGTTGCATGTGCTAAAATAAGATTCCAACTAATACTTGTAGTGTGTGCAGCCTCAGATCTTCCAGCAAATGCGATCTGACCTGGCCTCCTTGTGGACACCCAGCAGCAGCAGTACCAGGGTAGGCAACCTGAGAAGACTATCAGCCAAAAGTAGCTCAAATCCTGAGTATGAAGCATCAACAGAAGATGTCGTAGTCAGCATGAAGGTAATTCCCCCCTCATTTCTTCCCCTTATATATATACACTACTAGGTGTTTGACTTTCCATTAGATATATTTAATTAGGATATGAATTGGTGACTCCTTTTTTAACCCACAGGATCTTTTGCAGGCTGTTATTCCATTTGATCTCCTGCTTGATCGAAGAAAACGTATTAAATATATTCAAGATCTAGGGTCATGCTCAGAGGTCCAAACAAAACCAAAAGTCGTGAGGGATGTTGGGATTGCCCTAGCATCTCTGGTCGTTTGTGAGGAAGAACTAGAACGCGAGTTGTTTATATCAACCTCGTAAGATCATGTGAGATAGATCTTCAGCCTTCAGTCTTGTTTACCCTGCCTTAACTCTGGTGTGCTTGTCATTCTTACCTATGCAGCTATGTTCCTGGAATGGAGGTAACCTTATCTAGCCGCCTTAAAAGTTTGTACAGCATCTATAGTAAGGTAGGTATAAGTGATCTCCATAAATAATCCTAGAAAGAATACATGATTCAGTTATGTAGATGATTATGCTAATATTTCTCTCAGATGGATCGTAAAGATGTGAGCATTGATAAAGTATATGATGCACGTGCACTGAGAGTAATTGTTGGAGATAAAAGTGGAACTTTACATGGACAAACTGTCGAATGTTGCTACAGTCTTCTAAATATCATACACAAGTTTATACTTTATATAAGTAGCATAAAATGGATAACTACATGCTAAAACTTATTATGCCCAGACAAGAAGAAAAAAAAATTCTTACTCAATTTATAAGTGACAGATGTGTAATATAAATAAAAGTTGTTTGGTTCATCTTCCGCAGGCTTTGGACACCAATTGATGGCGAGTTTGACGATTACATTGTCAATCCAAAGTCAGGCGGATATCAGGTAAAGATCTATCTCACTATACTTTTTTGTATGCTGCTGATATTAGGTATACCTTTTCATATTTGTGTGAGTAATGCATGCCGTTTCCTTCTTATCTCTTCTTTTTGTCAATGCCCACAAATTCTGACTCTCTTTTTATACGGTCTCTGCATACTGCAGTGCATGTATCTCCCCAGGGGGGGGAGAATGAATTCAGATGTAAACGTCTCCCCAGGTGTGGTGGCTATATCTGTTCTTGTCATCCTTCTCATAAGGTAATTAATTCAAATTTGCATGGGTATAATTGTCATTTCACCTCTCATTCTTGCTTTTAAAATGGTAAATTTTGTTTGTTAGGTTTTTTACCGGACACAAAAAGGACGATAAGGATCAAGTGGAGTTTATTGCTGGGAAAACTAGTCTTGGGGATGCTGTTGATGGAGCAATCAAAATTTTCACTATTGCAGAATGTATTTAGCAACTAGTATTTACTTCATGTATTTTTATTAAGTTTCCTTTTTTACCCTTCTTCTAATTTGATGAATCTTTAGGTCATGATTGTTGTTGTTGCGGTTCCAGAAGGACTTCCATTAGTTGTCACATTAACGTAAGTTGAACATTTTCTTATAATTATTAATCCAGTTCTTTTAAATGAGTTTCTGATTAATAAAATATAAATCATGTTGCTCATAATTACAGGCTGGCATACTCGATGCGAAAAATGATGTCGGATAAAACGTTGGTAAGTTTTATAATTTTGTTTACTATAAATCTCTCAGGGGCATTTTGGTAATTTTTCACGTGCAGGTTCGGAGGCTATCTGCTTGTGAAACAATGGGTTGTTATATATTTGTTGATTAATTAGAGTTGATTAATGAAGTTATATATGTTGCATGTGAATCGATACCAATCAGGTTGTTTTTGAGCCCATATGAACTAACACCAACGCATAAGAATATTAAGATGAAATTTTGTTGATTATAAGAAGATGAAATTTTTGTGCATTAACATTTGGTTTATGCAGGCATCAACAAAGATTTTGGCACGCCAATTGGTGAGGCTTAGACAACAAATAGCCAACCTACAAAGTAGTCGGGCTCAAATGAGGGGCATAACAACACATACACAGGTAAATTTTCAAATGGCAACTTGTTTCTTTTTTGTCATAAATAAATTATACCACATGATTGACTTTCTATGGTTTTAACTTCTCCCAGGCATTAGCTGCACACTCTTCTGTGGCTGTTGGGATGAAAGGTGCTACCAAGGCAATGGCAGCAATGAATAAGGTTGGTTATACAGCAACATATATATATATATATATATATATATATATATATATAATGTCCTGGTTAGTAAAAATTTGTAAGTATAATGCTATACATTGTCATGAGATTATCAATGTAGCCCTACACTACACTTTTCTGAGGAAGGTAATCCTCAATTACTTTTTTTACCACTGGCATATTCTCAAGTTACTAGAAAACGACCTATTTATTCTCAACTGCATGTAAACCACATTTTACATGTCATATTTTAATTAACAGGATACACTGTTAAGTGTTATGTGTTAATCTCCTATATAATGTTTTCATGCAGTTTTGAAACTTTATGGAACTTGGATCTGTTATATGGTATCATTAAAGAAGTGGTCAAAGGTTTGACTTCTATTATCTAGTTGATGATCTTTATGTTTTCATGTTTCTTTTTATTCCTTCTTTCCTCCATAGTCCTCCTTGCAGATTTCTGTAAACCCTAGAGGAATTCTGTCACCACTTCCTTCACAATCCTTCTACGATTTCCAAAATCGTTATCCTTCTGATTCAAAAGACACTGACATGGATCTTCCAAGTCTAGCTGTAGGTATATGTTTTTCTTAATGAATAATGTAATCATATGTATGAATATGAAATAAAGTTTGTTATTTAGTATGTAATAATCATGTATAGGGAGAAAACAACTTCTATTGATTTGTTTTATCTTTCTAAGGATCGATTATTTGTATGATATTAAATTTTATGCAATGGATTGTATTTTTTGTATATAGTATTTTATTTTTTGTTATGAGACATTAAATGAAAATTTAATTTGAAAATTAGTAAATCTATAAATAATATTTTTTTTTAACATTTAAAATTACGATACGCAAAAATGTCTGTCATCTTCATTTATGACATGGCCGTTCTTGACAGGGTCTTCCTTGATACGCATTGCGTGTCATTAACACACGCGTCGTAAGGTTACGACGCGCGAATGCGTGTCGTCTTTCTTTATGATAGGGCCTTCCTTGATACGCATTGCATGTCGTAAACGCGCGTCGTAAATGAGCGTCGTAAATGCGCGCCGTCTATAGAGGACGCGCAAAAGCGCGTCGTCTCTCTTTATGACAGGGCCTTCCTTGACGCGCATTTGCGCGTCGTCTGAGCCTTTTATGACGCGCAATGAGCGTCGTAAAAGGTTGTTTTTCTAGTAGTGTTATGGTTTACTAAAGTTAGTAAATATGGTTATGCTTATAAGATTAAGTATAATTCTGGGTCATTGAAAATTCCCAACTTATAGCAAAACGAATAAGAAGAATCAAAGTCAGCAAAAATATAAAAGTTTCTCCAATCTGAAAAGACGGGAGAGTAGTTGAGTATCGTGTTTTATGATCATCTTAATGATTATGAAAAACATATCACAATTTGGTCCTCTAAGTACACTTAGTGCATCTATTTGGCTAAGGAGAGGATCAGGAATTGTTGAAATGGTTAAATCAATTAAGATGACTCATACTTCGTTCCAAAATTAAATCTTAGAGTCATACTCCAATATTGTATATTGAGTGACATATCAACAACTGTAGAGTAAAATGTTTTCTACTTGTGTACATTTGAAATTGGTAAGTTGTAATGTTTTGGATAAAACAAAGATCAACTTATACCGATTGTCAAAAGTATTTGTCTTGATAAGAACCGCACTAACCCTTGAATATTTGGTTGTCAGGGAATGTTTCTTGACAAAGAGAATCCTATATGTCAAGAGGTCAGTGGGAGTTTTAAAGATCTTAACAAGTTTCAAGAACTAATCAAGAATAAAACCTATTGTTAATCACTAGCCCACAACTTGAGGTTCCTTACCTATCGAGTTGACATATTCTATGTTCCCATTCCAGTTAAAATTGACTATGCACATGACTTATATGAGTTCTAAATTGTTTCCATAACTACGACATCCCTCTTCATAGTTCGAATTGTGAGAAATGGCAAAAAGGTCTAAACATTCGGAACTTATTGTTGTAAGTTATGAAATAGTTTAGACACACGTGTGAGCTATCTAAGGAAAGTTGTATGACTTTGAGAAGCTTAGATAAAGGCTTATCGAATCATCTTGTATCAGAAATCTGAACTTTGGTAAGAAAGTCAATAACTATTGATTTCCAGAAGTCTAGTTGATTTAGATACATGTCAAAGCTAGTGTGAGCATAATGTTATGCCGGTAAGATAATATTTACTATGCTAGTGGGAGCATAATTATTATGGTAAGTGTTAGAAGTTAGCAATGTTAATTATAGAAAACAAAGTTTTCAATTCGCAAAGTTGCAGGGTTTGAAAATGTTGTTTTGCTATAATTATGGGAGAGGAACTTATACTTCATTTTTCAATTCTAAAACCTTAGAATGAGATTTTTTAATCAAATTTAGTCAAAGACATATATGAATGTTATGTTGAAAAGATTCGACATAAGAAAATTCTATATATGGAAATGTTATTTGCATTCTTAAAATTCGATTATGATTACGGCATCCCTCTTCATACTTCGAATTTTGAGAACATGGCAAATAAAAATATTATAGAAAAAGACTGATCAAGTATCATGTCTTTATGTACGACATTATGAATCGTGTCCTACATGCTTCGGGTATTGGATCGATTGCATATGCTATAATATTCATGTGTTCTAATTTTCCAAATGCCTAGGGCATTAAGAGGGAAAATGGACTAGAACTGAATATGACTAAAGTGGTTAAACAACTGTCAAGGACAATCTAAGGTTCGCTACGGATTGGTTGCTTATGGATAGTTGGGAGTATAGTAATGAATGAACCATATTGATATAATTCTGAATAGATAGTATTCTGTTGAGAATGGATAGTCATATGACAACTATGGAAACGTTTCCATAATAGGAGTTGGATATCAAGAATATATGAGTTAGTTAGAAACCTTAATGCTAAGAAGGATGTTCAAAGGAATGTCCTTTTAATTTGAGACTTCATTTCCATGGAATTGTCTTGACAATCTCCAAAGGAATGTTTGTATCATAGTTTAGAACTAACACACTATAATAGTGGCAAGAATTTGGTATTCTTACACTTGAAGATTTGGAATTGTGAAATGAGGTTAATTGGAAATCAAATTGATTTATTTCATAAAGTAAGGGCCATAGGTAAACATAGTGTGCATGCTAGGAGCATGCGATAATTATTGTTTTAATTCAAGTATTAAGTTGATCAATCGAAACATTATACAATGAATAATGAGTAATTAATATGGTGATTAAATAAACAGTGTTTTATTTATGCTCACAAGTTTTAGGGCCATATAGAATTAGTATTATTCTTGTGTTTCACTTTGAATGTTTTAATTTCCGGAATAATAAGATTATTCCAGCTATCCACAATCGATCATACTTTGGAAGTAGGTATGAAGCGAGGCTGGCATGAGTTGGCTTGTAAATTCGTTTAAGGCGTTAGGCATTGCAACAGTTGCTACACCATTCATGAGTACTTTTGATATAAGATTTGAGTATTGGATCAACCCGCGCTCACTTGAATCACTTCATGCAATTTATCATGAGTGATCGTGAGACGATAATATCATATAGTGTTCAAACCGAGATATATGAGTTGTTAACTACGAGTTGGTTGTGCATTGATGATACGAAAAACCATCAGTAACTTGATGTTATAAAACATATCGTTGTGCATGATTTAATAATTAGTTAGTACAAACCATATAATGTCAAACTTTATTTGTTCCTTTTATCCTAAGCGGATTAAAAGCAATATCTTGGTCCCTTCGATGATTCTGTTTTGACTTATGTGCCAGGCCCGATCATAACTAAACTGATGTGTTCAGTTATGTTCGATGTCAAATGAATCGAAAATCGAGAAACAAACTGTTGGACAATAAATATTAATTGTTCCATGTATTTGTCCAGCTGATATCTTTAGGACATAGGAATATATGATCCCTTATCTAAAGGACGAGTCACTAACTAGGTCAGAGTTCGACAACGACTTTTAAAAGCTTACAATTGCTATGTCGGATCCTAAAGGTACATTGGCATTTATAGTTATTAGACTTATCCAAGTGGGAGACTGTTGGATTTGGTGTCTAGGCCCATAACTATAACTGGGATGTACTTGAGCAGATTGTAGCATGAGCCTTTTTCGGTTGCCTTCACCAGTTAAATTTAATAAGATCGACTTTTGAGAATAAGGTTATTTATGATTTATTAATGTATTACAAGTATAATATATTAATGAAATCATATTATTTAATTAGTATTGATCAAGAATTAATTTAGAATTAATTTTGTGGTCAAAAGAGACTAATTAGATATATGGGGATTGATTATATAATTCAATGATTCTAATAGTGTGGGCCAATGATCCATGATTATGGGCTAAACTAATCCATGGATAGTCCATGGAGGTTAAACCAATGGACCATGAGAATGTAGAAAGTCATGGGTTATTAGGGTTTACAAAGTGTAACCCTAGCATGTGCAACACTATAAATAGGGCCCTTTAGAGCCAAAATCGATTACTCCATCATTCCAAGAGAATGATACATGATTTTGAGCTTGCTAACCTATTCTCTCAAGCCTCCTCTTGCATATGGTATTTGTGAACCAATATAGGCATCACACTTGAGGTGCTAAAGCTTTCAAAGGTCAAGAACTCTACCTTACTCAAGAGGTAAGCGTCCAAACCAACAGTTTTATGTTATATAGCTTTAATTGTATGCTAGATAGGGAGAATGCTTTGGAAAAATAAAATGCATGTATAATTAGAGAAAACATAGATCCAAAGAATTTAGGGTTGCATGTGCACCATAGGAGTGTTATAGTGTTCGAAACCCAACATAGTTTTCAAATAAAGGAGCTCGAGACGATCATATCGCATACACCTATGTTTTCCGCAATATGTGATTTCCAGGAATTAACTCTGATAAATATTTTATTTTAAAATTCTTTTCAATGTGTGAAAACCCTAGTTACAAATGTGTTTTAGTTATATTTAAAATGATATTTTTGGTGCTGAATTTTGAGATGTTACAAGTTGGTATCAGAGCCTTGGTTTGAGGGATTCGGACACACTTTTGAGAGTGTCTAGACTCAAATAGAGGGTTTGAGAAATTTTTTACAATGAACACAATTTTTCTAATATTTAAAATTAAGGATTTTGAAATAGAACAATGAGTGTGATGCATGCAATCAGTTGAGCTCAAGTAAGTTTTCCCCAAGATACCCATACATGTTATGTTATGATATGAATTGTGAATATGTGAAATGCATGCTAGATTAAGGCTAAGGATCTAGGAAGGATGCCCTGTATATCTATTGTATGAGCTTGTAGACCTACATGCTAGTATTGATCAGTCAATGATAGGATGGCCTCTTTAGGTTATGCCTGATTGTTTAAGCTCTTGGAATTGTTTGTTAGTATGGTTCAGATAGTTGAATGGAATGGCTTGATTAGAGT